ACACACACACACACACACACACACACACACACACACACACACACAGAGCTCCCATTGTTGCAGCCTTCCTCAGCCTACTGATCCTAATATGGAATGCAGCAGGAAACCCATGATTTCCTGGTACTCGGCAAGCTGGAGGAAGCAAGGGGAAAACTCCATTAAAAAGCCCAGCTTCCCTCCATGTTAGATGTGAAGTGGAAAAAGGGGAAGATTTAGCAGAATTCTACCGTGTCTTCTAGCCAGGCTGGAGAGGGAAAGAGCACAGCGGAAACCCTCAGGCTGTTGAAATTTCTAGACTGCCACGCAGCCCCTAGAATTCGGAGAAAAAATGAGGGTTTCTTAACTCAAACTAGAGGGAAAAGGGACAGATGCTTTTAATCATTCTCCCAAATGTGTGCTACCTTTCCTGACCAGTATGGTAAGTGCGAGGGCATGTGCCGGCTGCCTGGGACAGGTCCGTGTGATCCCAGGCGCCCTAAGTAAGGCAGGGTGATCTCGAGCCCGCCGCTCGCCCGCTTCCCGCGCTCCATGGGCTTCGGGAGAAGCAGGAGAAGCCACAGCAGCTGCCCGGTGCCGGCAGCTGGAGCCGCCGCGATGAGCTGCACCGAGCGCGGTGACAGGCGCTGCGGCTGCGGGGGCACGGAGGAGAAGAAGATGCTCAAGTGTGTGGTGGTGGGAGACGGCGCCGTGGGGAAAACCTGCCTGCTGATGAGCTACGCCAACGACGCCTTCCCAGAGGAGTATGTGCCCACTGTGTTTGACCACTATGCAGGTAAGGGAAGGCGGAAAACCCTGCCCTTGCGGACCGGGTGCGCGATGCGGGCCGCCACACCCCAACTTCAGAGGGGCCTGCTTTAGCTCGCAGGGCAGCCAGTAGGGGCTGCCGGCCTGGCCGCCGCCAGGTCCCGGAGCGAAACACACAGCCAAGGTCCCTGCTGGAACGTTAGGACAATTCGTCCGTCCATTGGTAGCCTCACAACTTCCCCCCCCCTTAAATCAAATGACGAATACTGGGGAAATACCCTGAACTGCCCTCCAGGCTTTGGGGCCAGAGATTTCACACAACGTTCTTGGGAAGATTCATAACTTTTTATGGGAACATTCTAAAATGTAACTGCAACACAATTAAAAAAAATCATCACTAACTACACAACTAGTGAAAGAAGTATTTTTGCCACTTTTCATATATTTACCTCATGCCATTCTTAAATGAAATGGCAAGATTAACAAACGATAGAACATTCATTTTTCTGTAACAATCGGTGGCTGTACTAATTAGGCTTTTATCTTCCTGGGGCTGTAGATGGGCGGGCGGGGGTTAGTACTGAAAGGTCTTAAGTATCTGTTAGGCAGTCTGTATCTTGAATTCAAAGAAACACTTTGAATTAATGTGTTTTTAAAGTAAAAATAAAGAGAAAAATAACATTTGAATCGTTTTAGAGTATGTCCAGAAAGGATTAAATTGGACATAAAATATTTTAAGGCATGACAAGTTAAAATACGGTAGTCACAACTTAATCCTTTCAGTTACTTTTATTTTCTGAGTGTTCTAAAGTTTGTAGGTGTACTTGTCAATGTGATAGCCTATCTCAATTTTCCCATTTTTTTAAAAGATCTTATTTATTTATTTATTTGAGAGAGGGGGGAAAGAGAGCACGAGCAGGGAGAGGGGCAGAGGGAGAAGCAGACTCCCCACTGAGCAGGGAGCTGATGCGGGACTCGATGCCAGGACCCCGGGATCATAACGTGAGCCAAAGGCAGACGCTTAACCAACTGAGCCACCCAGGCGCCCCATCAATTTTTCCATTTTCATTCTGACTTTTTCTCTTAATTTCTAAAACATATCTTATTGTTCCTCAAAAACAAGTTCATGAAATTCTTCAAGTTTACACTACCCTAATTTTATAGCTCTTTTCAACAGAGTGATCAGCTTGGTGAGTTATCAGAGATTTGAGATTTCATAAGAGAAAATTTTCCCTTCCTTCACCTTGGCTTTGGGTCAAGTTCAGCAAAGGAGAAGCGGCCCACAGGAAACCTGTGTGAATGTTGACTTTGCTATGTGGCCATTTGAAATCCTCTCTCTGTTAGGAAGTAGCTTCTTTTCCAGAACTAAACAATCACCTAAGTCCCCTCCTTCTCCTACAGTTACATGATTTATGACAATATTACATAGCAGATTGGGAGAGTACCACAGTACCACAGTGAAAATAATATCCACTTCCCAGAAGGCTTTATATATATATATGTATATATATGTATATATATATATATACATATATATATATTTGTAAAATTAAGAGCAAATTTTAAGTCTAGCTCCCTTAAGCTTTTCCGAAAATATAATGACTGTGACCAGAAAAGAACATTTCAAAGAGAACAGAAAACTTTCACGCTGGGGGGAGGGGGGAAACCAATAAGATTAAGAGGTCCGGGACTTAAGTAAGTTACTAAGATACTTGACATGGAAACATCTTAGCAAAGGTTATTTATTCTATACCCTCTTTCTGCTAGGAAAGGAAAACTGGCTGGTACCTAATTTCAAAAACTTTTAAATCAAAGGTGAGGCCCAAAATTGACTAACGGGAGAGGCCTCAAGTGCTTTTGAAAATGATGTATCCCAATCCCCATCTATTGGTTGAACCAGTTATCAGCCTAGTATAAGAAAAAAGAGGATAAAACCATCTTTAGGGATAAAGTCAACCTATAAAAAATATATTAGAGCTCAAACAAAGGCTCAACTACTAGATTCCACCAGGATGAAATTATTTTATATTTCAAATGTGTATTTTCTTACTGTTATCTGAGCACCAAAGCACCTTAAAGATTTTGGCTACTCTATGGCTTTACCTCTCTTCTCCATATGAACAAGTATGCAGTATCCAGTCCCTGGGTCCTACTGGTGCATTCTGAAATCACAAGCAGCAATTGAATTCCTGAGTCTTTAGAAAATTGCAGCTGAAGTCTGAGAGAGACTATCCCTTGAAGATGTTTCCCTAACAGCTACCCATCCCAGGAAAGTAGAGCTATAACAATAGTAAGGATGGAAGCATACTTGAACATACTGTTCAAGATGGTGGGCTTTGAAGCCAGAGAGCTTAGTTCTAATACTGGCACTGCCATTGCTGTGTGGCCTTGAGCAAGTTACTTAACCTTTCTGTCCCTCAGTTATCACAAGAAAAGAAAAGGGACAATAGAAGTATTAGGAGTGTTTGTAAGAACAAAATAAATTAATACCTGTGAAATTCTTAGAACAGTGACTCACACATGGTGTGCGGTACATAGTAGCTATTATTATTAAGAGTAAGTTCTCTACACTTGCACACAGTTAGGAAAGGAAATTAAAATATAATTAAAAGATAAAGTTTACAGGGGCGCCTGAATGGCTCAGTTAAGCATCCAACTCTTGGGGCGCCCGGGTGGCTCAGTCGTTAAGCATCTGCCTTCAGCTCAGGTCATGATCCCAGGGTCCTGGGATCGAGCCCCGCATCAGGCTCCCTGCTCCGCGGGAAGCCTGCTTCTCCCTCTCCCACTCCCCCTGCTCGTGTTCCCTCTCTCGCTGTGTCTCTCTCTGTCAAATAAATAAATAAAATCTTTAAAAAAAAAAGCATCCAACTCTTGATTTCAGCTCAGGTCATCTCAGGGTTGTGAGATCAAGCCCTGCATCGGGTTCCATCTACTTGAGATTCTTCCCCTCTCCCTCCCTCACCTCTAAATTAAAAAGATAAAGACTACAACAAAGTAAAATACAATTTGAAGAGTATCCTCCAAATGGAGTAGGATGTGATGAGATGTATGTAATGTCCTTATAATACAGTAATCGCATGTATTGATAATTGATAAAATATGCATGGAGTAATAGTAGTGGGATATTAAATTGGGAGGGGAAATAACAGTTTTGAATGAGTGATTGTAAAAAAAAATTAACAACCAGCTAGAAAAAATATTTAAGTTTTATGAATCTTAGTTCTTTTCCATCCACCCAAAAGTACATCTCCTGCAGGCATCTTTCCTCCAGGCATCCTTCTTCTCCAAGCCCCCTTGACTCCATAAGGAGAGTTCCTTGCTCCATCTTCAACCCATCTCCAGAAATTTCTTCACATTTCTAGAAGACGGCTTCCACAATGTAGAGCGATTTATCTGTTTTCTTGTTTTTCCCACTTCCACTGTGCTTGGATCTCCCGAGGGAGACGGTTGTGTCTTGCCAAATCCCATGGTCATTTCTCAGCTCTCATCTTACTGGATGGCTTGGAGGCTTTTTTATGGCTTATTACTGTTTCTTTGCTTGGTTTCTGGGATAACAGCTTCTCCTGGCTTTTATTCCCTTTACTGTCAAATCTTTCTCCATCTCCTCTGCTGCCTACTCTGTCTCTTCCCAAACAGTATATGTTGGCAAACCTCAGTGTTCAGTCCCTCAGTTCCCTTCTTTATTTATCCTCATACCCCAGTTGGTTGTATTTAGTCTCATGACTTTAGTTATTATTTATCTACCAATGGCTCCCACATTTATATCTCTGGTCCCAATATTCCCCAAGACCCAGCCTCACAGATCCAACTGTCCCTCTGAATATCTAATAGGCATCTCCAATTTAACCTGTTAAAACAAAATTCTTTAACTGCCCTAATCTAGTCCTCCCCTAGACTTCCCCATGCAAGTACATGACCACTCTCTTGCACCCAGTTGCTTAGAACCAAAACTTCAGTATTATCATTGACTCCTTTCTTCCTATGACAATACCCCCCACCCTCTCCATTCAAACCATTCATTATTATTCCTTCTTGCTACTGATCAGCACAACATTCAAAATACCCCATCACTTCTCACCACCTACACTGTTTCACTCTTGTCCAAGGCACCATCATGTCTCATCTAAACTACTGTAATCACCTCTCAGTTCCCTGCTTCCAACCTTTCCCCCCTCTAGTCAGCTCTCCACACAGCTGGCAAAGGGGCTATTCACAGCCCAAATCCCCCAATCCCTTCACACTCAGATCCATCATTCATCATGGTCTACAAGGCACTCCACGACTTGGTCCCTGTCATCTCTCCACCCCCATCTCCTAACTCTTCTCTTCAGTTATTCCACTCTAGCCATACCAGCCATCTTGGTATGCTTCGAACACACCGATATCCCACTTTCTTGAAGACTTCACACTTGCCCTTCCCCCAGCCTGACACTGTTCCCCCAGATCCTCTTCAGCTTCAACTGACCACATTATTTAACACATACACACACAAAAACACAAACACACACACACGGAGTCACTCTTTAACCACTTATCCTGCTACATACCTATAACATTTCACACTAGTGGCATCATACTTCTAATTATTTGCTTACCATTTTTATCCCACACTTGAATGGGAACTCCATGAGGACAAGGACTTTGTCTTGTTCATTGCTCTATGTCCAACTTTTTTTAAAAAAGACCCCAACATACAGTAGACTCTCAACAGATAGTTATTGAATAAATGAGTTCATATGTCTTAATCACCTTTGTCCCTCCAGTGCTTAGGTAATTTCTGGCCCATTGAAACTGCTGAATAAACGAACAGCTGGTCCAATCTTTAGGAACGAATATGTTTAGAAATTTATTAAATTTATTCTATTTTTTAACTATTTTGTTCACAAGTATCATTTTATCTCTACTGGAATTGTAACATGGCATTTTTTCTTGACCCAAGCGGCCAATGTCACATCTGTTGAATAATGTAACTCTGCAATGCATAAATTTCATTTGGAAACAGATGAGCTGCAAATTGCTCCATAAGCA